TATATATCTATTTTTATTTTAGTTTTTTAATTAAAAAAATCAAATAAAATTTATAAAATTAATTTTATAAAATTTGTATTATTAAAAAAAAAAAACAATGTTCATTCCATTAGGAAAAAGAGACAAAAATTTTAATGTTCCATTAGTTATTGAATTTGGTGGATTAACTACTAGAGGAGGTATTTAATTCTTATTTAATTTAAGACAATAAAAAATTAATAATTATATTTAAAATTAAAAATATAGGATACGCGGGATATGATACTCCGAGTATATAAATACCAACAGTAATAAATAAATAAAAATAGTGTTTAAATATTGTTATTAAATTTTATAAAAGGATTTTGCATTAAATAGTCCTAACGATATCGAACTTTTGGATTTTTATAGACCGAACGGTCCTGAGAAAGCCGAAATAAACAATTTTGTAAATTAATGTGGCAGTAAAAAAATAAAAATATAAAAAAATAAAATATATATAGGTATAAATTGGGAGTATGCATCATCATTTATGGAATAAATAACTAAAAATCTCCTCCGAATAGAATAATCCGAAACTCCTTTATTTTTAATTGAACAAGCATTTCAGACAAAAGACTCCAGATAAAAATGTGTCGAAGCAGTTTTCGAATCAATGAATTTCGCCTCTCTTTTTATCCACAAAGCCCCAGTATTATCTTCCTATATATTTGCCAAAGAAACAATGCTTTTAGTAGATTCTGGAGCTTACAATACATATGTAGTCCCAATAATAGAAGGTTATGTAAATTAAAAAGGTATATAGATAAATATAAAATTATTGACAAAATATATATATATAGGAGTAATAAGAAGTGATATAGCAGGTGAATATTTAACAAAATAATTAAGAAGTATATGGGAAAAAAAAGTCCAATCAAGTAAATCATATAATAGATTTTTAAATTATGATAAACTAACTAATTCTATGAAAAACTGGGGTGCAAATGAAATAACTAGAGAAATAAAATCCAGAAATATTAAAATTAAAGAAATTAGACAAGACTCTATGTTATTTTTTTTTCTTCTTATATATATAAAAAAATAAATATTAAAAAAATTGATTTTAGAAAATTTAATGTATCTTTAGAATCTTAACTTTTTGAACTTCCTGATAAAACAAAAATTGAAGTAAATAATGAAATGTATGAAACTTAGGAAATTTTTTTTAATCCTTGTGTATTTTTTTTATTTATTTTTTAAATATAAAAATATATTAATTTTTTTTACATAGCCAGAAGAAAATTTCATGGGTTTATAAGATTTAATTAAATAAAGTATTGAAAGAGTAGAATCAGAAAATAGAAAAGAATTATTAAATAATATTATGGTTGTTGGGGGAAATTCGATGATTCCTAACTTTATTGAAAGATTATAAAGAGAAATATTTAGTTTAGAAATTAATATTCCTGGTAAAATCAAAATATATACTACACCAACTTCTAATGAAAGAGCACATTCATCTTGGATTGGAGCTTCTATTGTGGCTTCTATGGGATCTTTTGAAAATATGTTAATGACTAAAAGAGATTATGAAGAACATGGAGCTATTTTAATTGAAAGGAAAATTATATTTTGATTGTATTTTTTTTTTTTAATTTATAAAACTTAAAAAAAAAAATTTGTTAAATTATATATTATATATTTTTAATTTCTGTATTTTTAATTTTAAATTAATTTAAAATATTTCTAAAAAAAATACTTAATAATTTTTTCATAAATTTAATTATAAATATAAATTTATTTTGAATAAATATAAAAATATAATATTCGAAATATTTTTATCCACATAAAAATAAAATAATAATACAAAATGATCATTGATCAGAATAATAATATTTTTTTATAAGAATATAGAAAATATATTCCTTAATAAACAATAGAAATGTCAGAAAATTCTATAAATAATACATTAATAGCATTAGGTTAATTAACTTAATTGTAAAATATAATAATGAAAGACATATATCAAATTGTAGGATCGCTTTTATCTTTAAAATAAGATTAATAAAAAGATAATATATTTGAATAAGAATAAAAATTACCATAAGAAAATAAAGTTCAATAAGAAAATAAACTACAATAAGGAAAAAAATAACAAATAGAAAATAAAATAAAATAATAAAATAAATAATAATAAAGTAAAAAAAATAAAAAACTAATTTTATAACATATTTATCTTTTTTAAAAAAATATATTCAATATATATAAACATAAGTATAAATATAAATATAGATATACATATATATATATATTTTAATTATATATAATATAGGTATTTTAAAAGAAAAAATATAAGTATAATAATCAACATCATAATTAAAAGATTAAATTAGTTAATTTTAAAGTGTTTGTGAGGATAACTTTTCTAATAATAATAATTTTAATAGAATTTAAAGTGAATTTAATAACGATATTTTGTAATAAAAAACGAATTGTAGAGAAAATAGTGTCTCTGAAAATAATATTTATGAAAATATTTAATAAGAATTCTTTTAATCTAGCTTTTTATAAAACTAATTAGAAAAAGCTTTTTTTGATAAAACAAATAAAAATGATGAAAATAATCATAGTTAATGTTACTTAAAAAAGAAATATGTAAAAGTTTCAATTTAAAAAAAAAAAGTCCAACTAAAAGTACATTTAAATCTTGAAAAAAATAAAAAGTAATTAATTTGGTATTTATTAATTTATCTTAATAGATTAAGAATAAATTAATATATTTTTTTTTTATGAATTTATTTTTAAATTAAAAAGTATAAATATTTTAATTTTTTTTTTTTTTTTTTTTTTAAGAATAATTTAATTTAAATTTTAATTAAAAATATATTTAGTTTGTAAAAAAAAACATTAATATTAATTTTTATTATTTATAAAAACAAAAACAAAAATTAAAATATTTATTTTAAAAAAAAATAAAATAAAAATAGTTTATAATAAATAATTGATATTTATTTAAATTTCTTTTTTTCAAAATAAAAAAAAACCTCTATAAATATATATAAAAACATACATTTATATAATTTTTATAAAATAAATGGCTTAACATAAAAATTAATAATTAAACTAAATAATTAAATTAATTGAAGACTTAAATGAATCCATAGGTTCAAAATAAAATGAAATTTTTAGTTTGAAACATTAAAACGTTGTTAAATTAGAATAATAGTTTATTTTAAATGTAATATAAAAAAGTTTATTTTAATAATAATTTTTAAAAATAAAAAAGGATAAATTAAACACATTAGATGAAGAAATTTTAGAAAGATAAAAAGTTTTGAATCATTTGATTTTAAAATACAAGCATAATCAAACAAATGTAATAATAAAATGTATTATATTTAATATAAAATTAAAAAAAAAAGTAACAAGAAGATGAATATAATGATAATATGAATGAAAATGCGACAAAAAATGCGACATAAATACAAAAAAACAATTAGATAACTTAATTATAGAATCAAGAAAATTTAAAAATCAATGAAACACAAAATATGTAACAAATCGTAGAAAGTGATGATTATGACTTAACAATATTCGAAGGAATAAATCAATATTTAGACAAAATGATAAACAAGCTAGATAAGTTCAGTAATTTAAAGTAAAAATAAAAAAACTAAAAAAAAAAATTAAAATATAAGAATAGAAATAACACATAAAAAGCAATATAAAATGAAGAATAAAACCATAATGATAAAAAAGAAAATAAATTTAATCCTTTTAAATATATTGCAATAAGACTATTAATAAATTAGTAAATAAATAAAATAAACGATTAAAATAAAATAAAATCAACTGTAAATTTTCGTTTTGATGATAAAACAACATTTAAATAATTAAAATAAATTGCATGCTAATATTGGGTATTTAAAAAAAATAAAAATAATATACAAATAAATATAAAATAATATATAGATATATATATATATCTAAAAAAAACATATATTAATAAAAATATATAATATATATATATATATATATATATATATATATATTATATGTATAAATGTTTATAGTAATTAAACTCATTTTTTTTTGATGATGATATTGACAATGAAATTATTAATAATAATAATTATATATATTTTGATTTATGTGATGAATCTAAATCTACTTTAGATGAAGAATAAATAGTATATGATTATTTAATTTTAAAAGGATACAAATACTTTGATTAAGTCACACTTATTTTAAGAGAAAAAAAAAAATAAAAAAACTATATCGACTAATAGTAATTATAAAGTACTAAAATAGCCAAAAATGTTAAACCTATTGAAATTTCAAATTAATTCTATGTTACTAAAATTAAAGTAATTTAAGTAAATCCTTATTAGTAATTTTTTGAAACTTATCCAAGTTAAAAAATATATATAGAAGGATCTTCTTTATTTACACAAATCAAGGATAAATAAATTTTAGTCGAAAATATAAATCATGAAGAAAATTAAGTCACTGATTCACATTGTTGTGTTATATCATTAATATTAACTATTTTAGTAAAATATATATATAAAAATATATATATATATAAATATAAATATAATAATAATATTATAAATATATATATATATATATATATATATACATATACATATACATATATATATACATATACATATACATATACATTACATATATTTAATAATAATAGTTATTAACAACATTTTTTTATACTAATTTAATTCCTAATAATCTTAAATATGAAATTTAATATAAAATGTATTAAACTCTTCAAGTAAATGGAATAATGTAATAAATATCTAAATTATAAGATTTAACTAATTATATGAATGATTTTATTGGTTATGGAATTTTAGATTCTGAAGTATCTGGTTTAGGTCATAATAGTTTAGGACTTTTAAAAAACCAGTTCATTATTATAGGAAAGCCAAGATTTTTGATGTAGTTTGTTTAATTATAATAATGTAGTCATTATGTAATTGAAAGTTAATAATAGTCATGCTTTGATACAAAAAATTATATACCTTATTAATAAAACATAGGAAATACAAAAACAAGATATCGTAAATACATATATATATATTATCATTTATACATTCTAAATTGAATATTATTTAATTTAATATTAATATAAAAGAATGGCAGACATATTAAAATGAAGACAATGTTGATTAAAAATTTAGATTTAAATATATAGGAGAATTCGGATAATATGATGGATCTGGATATTATTTTGATATAGACACTAAAATAATGTCTAGGGAAAATCTTTAATTATAATTAGATAAGATAGCTGAAATCGAAGAAAAAGACTTCTTTAAGTTTTCTGCTATTTCAATACTTTTATATTCTCCTACATTATAATTTTTTATTTAAATAAATATTAAAATCGAAACTGATATTTATGGATAATTATATGCAAATATACCTAAATTGCATTTTTTTATTCCAAATTTGTAAAAATAAAATATAAATAAATAAAAATGAAAAAAAAAAAAAAAGATATAAAAGTTCTTATTTTTCAACAATAATAGTAATAGATATATTGAGATTTATATTAGCAATTTTACTTGTATTTTTTATAATTTACAGAGTCATAGTAAGTGATTTAAACATTTATTATTTAAAATATCATTTAGGATTGTTAAATTTATGTATTTGTATTGTAACATTCATTTCTTTATATTTCACATACATATAATATAAACTAGGATATGATGAATTATTATTATTATAAGAAACTGAATATATAAATTTAACTAATTCGGGTGTTTATTATGAGACTATATGTCTTTTATAGGCTTTGCTAATAAGTATAATTATACTCAGATTTATTTTTGGAATTAAATTTTCACTAAGGATATAATTCATTAATGATATTTTATTAAAATGTGCAGTTGATATATTTACTTATTGTTTTATTTTTGTTCCTTTACTACTTGCTTTTGCCTATATTTTTTCACAAATTTGGGGAAATAATGTTAAATAATACTCAGATATACCTTCTTCTTTTTGTTCAGTTTTACTTATGATTATGGGAAATTATCCATCTAATGAAATTTTTAAATTTGATGAATAATATTCAATAGTATTTTTAATTTTGTATTATTTTTCAATTATTTTTCTATTTTTTTCTCTTTTCTTTGGTATTCTTGATGAAAGTTATCATAAAACGCTTACTAAAAGTGGATATCCGAATATGGAAAAAAATCCTTTGACACTTAAATATATTGCTTTGTGGGCTGTTGAATGGATACCATAAAAAATTCAAAATAAAATATTTGGAACTAATTATTATAATAATAAAAAATACAATTTTATGAAAAATTGAAAAAAAGTATTTTAAGGAAATTAATTTTAAATATTAAATAATAAAATGAAAAATATAATTTATTTTAAAATTTTCAAATTAGTTATTATATTAATAATTTATTAAAAAAAAAAAAAAAAAATTTAAATATGTTTAATAAAAAAAATTACTAAACAAAAATTATAATTATAAAAAAATCAAACAAATAAAATAAAAATAAAAAAGATAATAAAATTAGAAATAAATAAATAAAATATAAAAGTTTTTACTTTATAAAAATATATAATAATTAATAATTTAAAATAATTGATATTAAATATAAAAAGAATAAAAAAAATTTAAAAAATAGTATTATTATTAATAATAATAATAATAATAATAATAATAATAATAATCATAACAATATCAATAATTACAAAAATATCAATAATAACTATAATAACAATAATATCAAAAATAAAAATAATAACAATAATAATAATAATAACAATTATATATATTATAGAGTAAATATATAATATAAATTATAAGAAATCAAATAATTAATTTATTTCATTTTTAGTTATTTTCATCTTTTTCAATTTGATTTTAAGTTGGGACCTATAATGCTAGTTTTCCCCATTATTCAATTGAATCATTAATATTAATAACATTTTATTATAACTCTCCATCATAGAAGTCATTAAGAGATTACCATAAAGGCAAAACAATAACAGTCAAAAAACCTTTTTCAGCTTTAGCCATAACATGAAGTTAATCTAAATCTTTCATAAAAGGAGTTTAATCTACATTTCTTTAACCTTCTTCAACATACTTTTATTATTTTAAATTATAAATAAAAATATATAAGATTACTTATTAAATAAATTCTTAATTAACTCTTTCTGACCATTTTCTTGCTAAAGGGAAAGACTTAGCTGCTCCCGTAAAATCTGCTGTATGAATAATCATACCACTAAGTAATTCTAGTTCATTATCATTTAATTCTTTAAATAAATATAAAAATAAATAAAATAAATATAGAGTAAATTAATAAAAAAATAAAAAATATACATATACTTTTATTATTATCAATATTATTTTTCCAGAAAATCTCAAAGTCTTATTTTAATTTGAAATGTTATTTAATATCCGTATAAAGAATATTCGAGATCATTTATCTTCTAACATTAGCATATTCTGTCCTTTCCAAATTTTCAAAAACATTACAATTTATAGATTCTAATTTAAGTATTTTAAACGTATTAGCTAAATGATGTTGTTCCAAAACAGATTTATCGTTATATCTAATAGCCAATTTGCTCTAAATCAAGACTTCGAAATTATTTGTTCTACCAGTATGTCCTACATCATGGCATAAACCTGAAAAAACCACAGTAAATATATCTATATTTTTCATAGCCTAGACTGCTTTTTTACATTTTGATAACATATAGCAAGATTACATTACTGAAAGTCCATGTTAAAAATTATGAAATGGATTATTATTTTTATTGTATAAAAGTTACATTTATTTAATGAAATTTGCGAATGTTTATTCCTTTATATTATATGTTTACACATAATTATTCCTCACTAAAATATTCCAGGCAGTACTATACATTTCTTCATCAGATTATAATAACATTACGTTGAATTCCCAATCATCTACATTAATTACAGTCGGATTTACATGTAAAATAGAAACATTTTATGTAAAGGAAACTTATTTATTTTTCCTGGGGGTATTGTGAACGTTATTATGGAGGATTTCTCGTTGCTTTTCTGTGAACATTTCTATTTAGGTGTCTACGTATTTAATTTGGACCTTTTCTTCGGTTGATATAGTAGTAAATTTAGAGTATAATTTTTTAATGATGCTTTTTATTCTTTTATCGTTATATATATTTAAGTTTTGCATAATATCATCTAGGATTACTACAGGTTCGAAATTAGAAAAAGAGTCAACAGTAAAATCTTCCTATAAGCTCATAAAAATGGACAAAATTTAACCATTTAGGTAGTTTATGTGGAAATATATTTAAGTTTCGGGAAGAGATTTTATTTATATCCACTCGTTTCCCCTTTAGGCATTTTAGACTATCGGTGAAGTGGTTTTAGTTTAAAAAACTTCGAGTAATTAATGAAATTCTTAGTTAAAATCTTAAATGTGATCAACCTATTTTATGAAAATATCATTTATATTTAATTGCCTTTATTTTAATATTTCTTAATTCAGTTCAATATTATTTCTTATTCTTGAAATAAATTTTAATTAGCCTTTTTTTCCTATTTCTAGAAATGTGTGGGTGCTTTTTAAAAAACAATTGTAAAATAAAGACTTTTCGATTGTTTTTTATAATAAATTTCTGATTTTGATATTTAAAAAAGAATATTTATCATCCTTTTCTTGTTCAATTATTATATTTGTACAAGTTTTAACAAACCAGTTTTAAATTTCGATTATTTAAGAAATTTTTTCTTAGTGATTATGCATTAATTTTTAATGGAATTAATTATTTATGAAAACTCCTATTTATTGTAATCCTTCTATGGCTGTATTTTTATGGTTTGTTTGTTAAAAAATCTTGTATTTAAAAGAATTCTAATCGATATCTTAATTGAATTTTAAACCTATTATTTACTCTTAGTTGTTCATTTTTTTATTAGTGAATTTTAATAATATTATTTTCTCAGTATTTGTAAAATTTTTAAGTTCTTATGGGTTTTCTATAAATATACCTTATTACATGTTTTTTATTTCTAAAATTAAGTTTTCATTTGTTATTGGGGTTGAAGTTATTTTTTCATCTAAATATAAGTAATTTTCAGGATTTTCTTTAATTATTAATATAAAGCCAGTGGTTTCGAAAAGAAACTAAGTTAACCAATTTATGCTTTATTGTACTTCAGTGTTTTCTACTAAAATTAATTAAGAAAATTATTGTAGTTTTTATAAAACTGACTTTTTGATTTTTTTATTAATATATATAGATAATGTTTTTTTTTTTTAAATATATAATACTTTTATTTCTTTGTAAGTGTTTTATTATTCAATTTATTTTTAATTATTTTTTTGATTATTAGTATTTACTATATTAATAAGTATATTTTGTAATTCTTTCTTTTCCAATACAGAAAAATTATGTTTTTTTTCTTATACAAATTATTAAAATTAGCATATTTCTTGTTTTAATTAAATATTTTGCTTACTAAATTAAACTAAAGTATCTTCTATTTAACTTATTTTTGTAGATTAAGTGAGATCTTTTAAAAGAATTTAATCATTTTTTATTAGTTTTTGCTTTATTTCTCTTTTCTCTTAATCAGAAATTATACCTTTTTTATATAAATTTAAAATAATAGAAAAATATAAATCATAGTTAGGTAAATTAATTGTTTATAGTTATGAAAATAATAGATTAGAATCATTTTGATGAGATTATATTTAATTTTTATTATTCATATTTTATTTTATTTTTTTTTATTTTATTTAGGTATAATTTCTGTTTTTGTAGTATTTTTAAATGTTTATTTATAAAAAATATTATTTATAATTTATTAAAAAATAGTTAAATGAAATTATTACATTAATTTTAAATATTTTATTTTTTATTTATTTAATAAAAAAAATATTTTTTTTATATTTTTATTTTTATTATTAATATTATTATTATTATTATAATGAATAAAAAAATTAATATAAAATTAAATGTTTTTATTTTTATTATTATTATTATTATTATTATTATAATTTTATTATTATTAATTTAAAATTATTTTATTTAAATATCTATATATCAATAATTTATATATTTTTATTCATTTACTACTCTAAAAAATATTTTTTTTTTGTAATATATGGAATTTTTTTTTACATATATTTTATAATATTTTTTTCTTTATAATTCAAATACAAATATATAAATATTTTAATATAATAATATTTTTTAATTTATAACCATCTTAATACATGTTATTTTTTATTATTTTGTCTATTTTGGATATATATTAAAATTTATTAAAATAATTATAAAAAATTATTTTTTAAATAATAAATACAAATAATAATTATAATTTTAGAAAATAAAAGTATATTTTAAATCTCATTAAATAAAAATTATATAGATATTTTATTGATAGTTAATTTATTTTATTTAAAAAAATAGATATAAAAAAAATATAATTAAAAAAAAGTATATATATTCATAAATATATATATATATATAATATATATATATATATATATATATATAAATATATATTATTTTTATATATTATTTTATTTTTATTTCTTTTATTTTAATCACTATTCTAATAAAGCTTTATCTATTTTATTGAAAATATATTCAATTTATTATTCTTTTTTTTTATTAATTAATTATTCTCTTTATAAAATCATATAAGATATTTTATTTTTGTTAAAAAATTATTATTTTAATATAAATAATATGTTTAAATAATAATCATTATTATTAAAATATTTATAATCTACATAAACATCTTTACCTTTTATAATTTTTTTTTTTTAATTTTTTCAATATTAATTTCGTTATAAATCAATAAGTTTTCTATCATTTTTTCCTTTTCTAAAAAACCTATATTGGAAACTAAATACTTTATATTATGTTGATTATTTTTGTAATTTTATTCTTAAACATTTGAAAGTAATGCATCACATTCTAAACTAAATTTATTTAAATAAGGTTCAACTAAAATATCGAGTTAAAGAGATTATAAAAGAAGGAAAAAAAGATATTTATCTTATTATTTTTAAATATTTATCGTAAAATTTTAATTATTTTTAATTTTTTTTTTCTAAAAAGATTTGTATTTTCTCTTTAAGAATTACTTATTTTTAAAAAATATTATTTTCATTTTCCATTTACATTAAATTTAAAATTTAATTTACAACTAAAGCTTCCTTTTTTTAATTTACTTTTATTTTTTCAAATATTTTAATATAATTTTCATCTTAAAAATTCACATATTTATATATACTTCCTATATATAAAATAGGATTGTCTATTTCCTCTGTTAAAATGTTTTTATGGATATATAAAATACTTTATTTCTCATTTTTTAGCGCTAATAAATATACTAGTTTGCTTTTTTCTTGAATTTTTTAAAGATTTTTCTACATAAATTCTTTTAAATAATTTATATGGACAATTTAGAAATCTAAAGATAGGTTATATAAATAAAAAGTGTTAAAAATTTATATATTTTCTGTTTTTTTCATATATTCAAATGCCTTGTTTATCACATTTTAATCGTTTTTGAACATTCCTATATATTTTATGTGAAGGACTGCTTTTTATTCTGGAAGATTATCTAAGTTTTGCATAAAGAAATTTAATATAAGCGTTTTTAATTATTAGAAAAGATTTTCATTTATGAATGCATTTTCATGTTTGTGATATTTTAGGAAAAAATTATGTAAAAAAGTTGCTATTTTTAGAACTTTTTCATCATTTGTAATATTTTATTAAAGATAATTTAGAATTTCTGATAGTTTATTGGAATTATCAACAATTTAGAGTATTTAATTATATAATAAAGGATAAAAATCATAATTTTATGAATTTAAAAATTATAAAATATTCGAGAAAATATTAATAAGGAATTATCCGTGAATTTTTTTCTCATAAACCTATTAAAGTGTCCATTCATAGAATTAATATTTACCTTTTTTTATATTTCTGAGTATTTTAGTTACATATATAATATTTGTTATTTAATTTATTATATTTTCCTGTTCTTAATTATTATTATTATTAGAAATTATATATTCAAAATTAATTGAAAATAAATATAAAAATATAGACTTTGATTATTCATCTAAATTATATTAAATTTTATTTATTTTAGATAATATAGAACATTAGGCTTATATATCTAAAGATTCAAATTATGTTTTTAACTTTCCATATTATTTTACGATTTTATTAGATAGTTCTTCATCGTTTATTTATGTTATATTTTATAAATACTAATGTAAATGTGTTATTATTTCTGTTTTTTCGATTTATCTTTAAATTTCAATGTGGATATTTAAATTTAAGTTTTTTTAAATTTTTAGGTAATACATAAATATTTAAACTCTCTTCTAGTATTTAATTATATATTGAATTATTCTTCTCCTATCTTTATTTTTTTTTTATTAACTTTAAAGTTATTTTTTACTTTTTATTGAGATAAATTAATACGGTTCGAATTAATTTCGTGTTTTTTATTAGAATTTATTTATTTATCATTTCCTTTAACAAAAAATTTACCATATAATTATGATGCAGATTATTATTTTTAAAGACAAAATCTGAATTTTATAAGTTTTTATAGCATTTAAGTTTATTTTATATTATAATGTTTTTTAATTATAGATATTTAGATTTTTAAAAAAAATATTTATATTAAATTTAATATATTTTAAATATAGTTATATATTTTATTTTTAATTAGTTAAAATTAATTTATTTTTATATAGAATATATTTAAATAAGTGCTTTAAAAATATTTACTAAACACTGAATATTTTTTTTACATTCTAGCAGACATTATTCCAATAAAACACAATTTAACTTAAAATAAAAAGTTAAATATATATTTTTTTATAAACTAGAAAATGAAAATGTATAAATATAATAAATAAATATTAATATAAATATAAATATAAATATATATATATATATATGCATTTATATATATTAATTTTTAAAATTTTAAAATATAATTATTATTATTATTATTATTATTATATCTTTATTATTATTATATTTATTATTATTATTTTTATTTTATTCATTTTTTTATATTATTATTTAATTTAATCTATATATGATTTATTAGTTTTTTTTTAAATCATAATTTTTTTGTTTATTAAAATATATCAATTATATTTATAAATCTTTATTTTTAATTTTATATTACTAATATATATATTATTTTTTATAAATAATATAGTTTATTTAAACAAAGTTTTTTATATAAATAATTATAAAATGAATGCAACATAAATTCTTGATGCAACAACAGTTTCAGCTTCATATACATTAGGTGATAAATGTCGAGCTAAAAATATTATATCACATCCGTGTTCATAAAGAAATTTATTTTATGCTAGTACAAGTACATTAAAAGAACCTAATAAGGTAATTAAAATCAAAAAAAAACTAGAAAAATAATAATTATAATAGACATATTTATTAGAATATAGAGAAGATGATAATAAAATTTAATTAATTGAAACATATAATAATCCTGGTATTATAAGAAAGGTTATTCCCGATACTTTAGATGAATCTAGATTTTTTACTATATATTCAGATTGTATTAAATAATAATATATTTAACAATATATATATATATATATATATATATATATATATATATATATATATATTTATATTTCTAAAAAATAAAATAAAAGTTGATCAAAATAATTAAGAAACCACTAGTCTAAATCTTAAATAATCGTCCATAACACTACAAGGAACAGAATAAAATAATGAAAAAGATATAATATATACATATATACATAATAAAATAATTCACTCGTAGAAAATATATTTATTTAACATGCACATATATTAAATATAAAATAAAAAAAGTTTGACTTTATCATAAAAAGATCATTAAATAGTAATAGGAGATAAAGAATATATCAATATATTTGATTAAGAATAATAAAAAATTTAAACAAGTATATAAGAAAGTGAAAAAGGATCTTCTATATGTGAAATAGATCCTCATCACAGTAATTTAGTAGCAAGTGCATAAAATAATGGAAACATACATATATATGATTTAAGGAATTAAAAGTAACATAAAAATATTTTATTTTAAAATAAAAATAAAAAAAGAGTTAAGTATAATATAGAAAACGCACATAAATTAAGAATTTTCGATATTGATTTTAATCCTAATAAATAGTATTATTTTCAAAGTGTAGGAGAAGATTATACAGTTAAATTTTGGGATTTAAGAAATCCATCATTATCAATGAAAGTTATTCATAAATTTAATAATATGCCTATTTCTTCTAAATTTAATAAAAAGCATGACTAATTAATGATAACTTCATGTAATATATATATAAATAAATATGTTACTTTTTTTTGGCTTTATGTATTTATTTAAAACAAAACAAAAAACACAATTATTAAAAAAAAAAGATGAGTAAAAAATATATTAATAACCGATATTTTTTTTTTTTGATTAAATGTTTTAAATAAAAATGCAAGCAAAAATAATACATTTATATATTATCTAATAAAAATAAAAAAAAAAGTTAATGATGGAAGTCTTGGATTATATAGAGTAAGTTCTGTAAGTTCAGCGCCTATATCTACATAATCAGCTTAAAGGTAATTTTTTTTGATAAAAAAAAAATAATTAACTTTTTAATATATATATATATATATATATAGAGAAGAAGATGGTTTAATAAAAATATATGACGAACATGAAAATACTGTATATAGTGTAGCTTGGTCTTCTTGCTCTGCATGGAATTTCGCTAGTATTTCTTATTATGGGAGTGTTATTGTTAATGTTGTACCTTCTTTAGTAAAACATCGTATTCTTTATTGAAAACNCAAAAATAATATTTTATATATATATATATATATATATATTATATATATATATATATATATATATATATATATATATATATATT